TCATTCTCCTAAGTGTAACAAACACGATCTCCGGCCACCGTAATCGCGGGCCTACGGATGGCGAGCATGGGTAGCTCGCCGCCTGACAAGAACCAGACCTGAGCGTACGGCGCGTCGTTTTCTGCGCTCGCCTTAAAGAGCCATCAGATCACCACGGATGGGGCCCAATAAGACTGATGCCGATATGGAGCCGCGGAGAACCTAACGGCTCAAAGTGCCGGAAGGAGTAGGAACCGGGTGGTTTTTAGTCAGTAAGAGTCTGACACTCCCTCCCGCCTCACCCACGGGAGTAGTCATTCGATGATTTCCCCTCCTTAAAACAAAAAGTGTGACTAACACTTTTCTGAAAACTTCATCAAAATGTTACATATTAGTCAAATTAAGAACATTCTTTATTTATTTTAAAGTCGATTAAAAATACATATACGATTCAGTAATGCCACCGGCGGTTATCAAAACAAAATCATAGAGTCACACATTCACAGATTCACAGGCAAATTAAACATAAAATCTAATTTGGGCATCCGCTCCTTAATTCCGTTCGACAGGACCAAATAGGCCTGGTTCGCGAGGCCAATTTGCATGGCCGGTTTTAGGTCATTGTACGCGAACGGCTGTTCGGAAATCCAAAATCCGAGCGAATGTGATTATAATAATGACGTTCTTGTCAATATGGGCAGACCTAAATAGATTTTTATATAATACTAGCTGTTGCCCGTGACTTCATACGCGTAGTATAATGAGTCTTGCAGAATTTAGGCTTTTGAATTAGTTTTAATCAAGGGATATTCTACGGTAATGAATGCCGTCAGAATTGATTTAGTCCCGTAAGCGATAGTGTGATAATTAGCCTATGTGTTGACCCGAACTGTTAGTAATATTCATGCAAAATTTGAAGTAAATCCATGTAGTACTTTTTGAGATCATACCGGACATATGTACATACAGACAAACAAACAGACAACAATTTCAAAAACCACATTTTTAGCTTCGGTATCGATTGTAGATCACACCCCAAGTATTCTTTTTTAAAAATATTAAATGTACACTTTTGACTTTTCTACGATTTTATCTAGAGGTATACTAATATTATAAAGAGGAGAGATTTGTACTTATTTTTGTATGTTTGTAATGAATAGGCCCAAAAAGTACTGGGCTGATTTAAAAAATTCTTTCACCAATAGAATGTTACATTCTTCCAATTTGATATAGGCTACATTTCATTTTGAAAAAAAATAGGGATCCTTGGTAAAATTTGAACAATGTAACCGAAGGTGTAGAAAAATGAGTCTTAAAATGTCTGTCATCGAATGCGCTGCCGAAACTATTAGCGATAGAACAAAATAATGTACAACAATATTGAAGAACATCATAATGTCTATAAAAAACTCCGCGGTAGCATATGTGCAACTACTGTAGTTATGTCACTACAACAATCCAAATTTCCAAAAATAAATAATTGTCTACCCCGTGCGAAGCCGGGACGGGCTGCTAGTTATATGTATAGATATTGCCTGGTTTTATTCTTTAATATGTCTTCTTATTCGATGGATAAGTAATTGAAGGTGATTACATGTTATCGTCTGGGATAAAGTAATTTTGGCTTAGCAACAGTTACTCTCGAAGTTAAGCTTCGCTTGCGGCTTTTTGGAGTTAATTTTATTTTGGTACAACATCTAAAGTATTTATTTTCGATGTTTACCTTCTAGGTTGGTGTCTAAATTAATATTGTGGATACAATTTTACTTACTGTGCTCATTATTATCTGGCGTTTAATTGAATTCTTTTTTATTCCTCCAAATACTTATATCCACTTCAATTTCAAACCTATGATAACATTAGTATATAATACTAAGTAATATACTTTATATATACGCTCTGTATAACTATTGAGAAATTTGAAAATCGCAGCCTTTCTGTAATTAATAAAATTGGAAAGCCTCGTGCGGCAAGGGGTCTCGGGTCCGATTCCCGGATCGGGCAAAGTATTACTGGGTTTCAAAAATTTCTCAGTTGTAGCACGGAGCCTGAAATTGTGCCCGGTATATGGCAATAGGCTCACCCCCTATTACGTGGTGCTCATAACATAAATAGTGAACAGTGGGTGTTACATTGTACAGTAGCATAATGTGCACCTCTGCTTACGCCTTCGAGGATAAAAAGCGCGATGTTATGGTGATTTGATGGAAACCAAGAGTCAGGCTAACCAACAAAATTTGCAACCTTACCTTCTTAAGTACGATTATGAACCAAAAATAACTCCCCAAAAGTCCACACGAATACTAAACCCACGAAAACACGCTAGACTCCAATAAACCACACTATTCTCAACATCAAAAGATTTCAAACAAACACGTTGATATCCACCCTACCTACAGCTCGCTCAATAAATTGTCCCAAGCCTCGCAAACGTAATTCATTACCATTGACATTTCTATTGTGAGAGGAAAACCTGTGAAGGTCACACGGATTTTATGGAATGTCGCAAAACTCATAAACTTAGCGGTTTCTAGTAGACGACCTTTATATACTTGTAATAACGTTAAAAAGCCTCGAAAATGTACGCCTATACTGTATACAGCGGCGCGGCGGATCATAATGTACGCTGTTTTAAATTTTGGGGTGCCAGTGTTCGAGGGTTTGTGTAAGCGATATTTGCATTGTGATCTTAGATTGACATTTTCGGCAGTCTGTTAGTGTGCTTTGTTTTGCAAATGCTAATACTATGAATATTACGAAAAGATATTAGGGGGGAAAATCATCAAATGTTTCCCTAGATATGGGTCAGACTAAAGAGTTTGATAAGAGTAAGCTCTTACTTACTCAAAATTATATTCTATTGTTCCTATAATGAAATATAGTGCGCGCCACCTGACGACATTCATAACATGATTGTAAGATGTGTGTCGCCTTATTCGACACTTCAAAAATTTTAGACTGCACACACTGTTAAGAAGTGAAATTCTTTGCCAGAGTCTGTATTTCCTGAAGGGTATAATTTGAGTGTCTTCAAGGCCCGAGTGAATAGGTTGCTTATGGGACGACGTGCTGTATCGTAGACTGCATTATCGCATACCAACAGGCAAGATAGTGGTCAAACGTCGGCATATCATTCATAAAAAAATAATATTATAAAAAAATCGATCTCTATCCTCATATGGCAACCTAAGTTTGTCTTTTACTTTAAAACCAACCATCAATTATGCACATTATAATACAAGTTTTTCCAACTACAATAAATTCCTATGCGTTTATTAATTCCATTACACACCCTTTATTTTCACAATATTATGATTGAATTGCAACACCCTGTCATTAGGAACCAACCCTCGAACCGCTCCGCTAGTCACCCGCACTGGCGATGCGAGACGGGGTCATAAAGAGAAATTGACGGCTCACATTATACTCAACCGTAAAACGCCGATTTCAGATGCACCTGCCTTTGTTATACCATACTTTATTATATGAATAACTTTTATTTCCTAATTTTGCACGCCATCAAGTTTATTGTGTGGTGTTCAGGTTCGTTCTTATGTTGAGGGCGTAAGGTGCTTTTTAGTGTTTTGTGAAGTGCTGTAGGTCTGTTGTTTACCGTCACCTTGAAAGAATACTATGTTTTGTTCTAAAATATTGAACATTTTTTTCAGTTCATCAACACGGTAGTTTTATATTAAAACTTTCGTAACACATATTAAATTAATTATTGTGTTTCTAACTTACTCACGTAAATGTTTGACGAGGAACTCGACTAGTTTCAAGCCATGTTAGAGGCTATATTCATATTCAAGAGTAGCATTCAGTAGCAAACTTCACTTCGCTACTGTTATTTAAATTTTTTAAATGACATCATTAATATATTTTTATAAGTTAAAATGACTCACATGAGAAAATTGATGATAATATCTTAGTGAGACTGCCATAACTCAGACAACTGGAAAATCGCATAAAATAAATTACAAGTTCTTTTTTTAAGAAAATGTTGCCCCACACTATAATTTTTGCCTGTGTCGTGGGTGCGTTTACAAACATACGAATTCACATACACATGACATCCAAACCTGAAAGCACAATTTGCGAATCACACAAAGAGTTGCTCTCTTATGAACTCGCTACACGTTGAGCGGGAACCGGTTTCTAAGCCATCGCATCAACCGTGCCGTCAAATTACAATCATGATCTATTTTCTATATAACAACAAAACTATAACACATAAATAATGATGCCAATATTATAACGTACCCCACAAGCTAGCTTGATTGAAAAATAATTTGAGTTACCGATATTTAGCACGTCGAAAATCGAAGCCCAATTTTGGCGACCAACCCTAGCAACACGACAAACTTATAACTACATTTCCAAAACTATTCAAACCCTTAAAAATGTACCGTATACTCTTGTGTTAAGGTTCTTGATAGTGAGAATTGACAGTTTTGTGACAGCAAAAAGGTTGTTGTAACAAAATGATGGAGCGAAAGTTTGATAAAGGATTATCTTTGGAACTACAAAAGCTGATAGCCATGTAACACTGGACTCAAATAATTTATTAAATGTTAATAATAGACTATGGCCGTGAGGACCTGGATTCAATTTCCGGGTCGGTTGATGTAATTACTAAATGTTATCTATTACAGGATTGGATTTCTGTACGTTTACTAGTAACTGTGGTGTTACTTGCTCGTTTGCTACATAGTAATACTTTTTCATATTGTATTAAATTTAGTATTCATTTTAGAACTCATTCTAAAATGTATAAATATCTCCATCAACTGACATAAACTGAATAAACACAAACTCCATGAACTGACATACAGACAAATATTTGTTTTTGGGATAAATTAGTAAACGAGCAGACGGATCACCTGATATTAAGCAAACGGCGTCGCCCAAGGACACTTGGAACACCAAAGGCGTTAAAAGTGTGTTACCGGCCTTTTAGGGATTAGGAATTTGAGGATTTTTGGGATTCAGGGATTGGAGAGATTGGGGGGAGGGGTAATTAGGCCTCCAGGGATCACAATCACACGACGAAACACAACGTAAGCGTAGTTTCGCGTCGGTTTTCTGTGACGCCGCGGTATCACTCCTGTCGAGCCAGTCCATTCGTGCCGAAGCATGTTTCTCCCGCTCTTAATATTTTCAAGTTTGAATATTTGCTGCCTTAGACTCATACATAGGGCAACATAAATTGAAATGAGAATGTTTAGACTTATTAATATAAAATGAAGTTTTAATTTTATTTGTTAAACTGTCAAACACCAAGCGGTCACCGGTGACCGCGACCTATTATTTTTATTAGTTCTTTAATTGTGTCTATAAAACCGGTACTCGACGAGTTAAGTAACTATCGGTGTCAATGTATGAAACATTGATATCTCTTATTCAACTAGAGTTTAATACCATTAAAATTTGTCTATGGAGACATACATTCATACAAAATTCTAAATTTCAGAAAATAAAATTCGAAAGTAGAAAACTTCAAGAATATCCCAAAAAACGTTAGCAACCAAATCATAGAACCTAACCAAATAAATCATGCGGAACATGGCAAAATATATTTAACAAATAACAACTTAAAGTCGGAAATCCTGTTGAAAGGTGGAGAAGCAAAACTGGTGGGGAACTCTCATCTATCAACGAATTTACAAAGCAAGTTCTTCGAGTTTCGCCAGACGACTTTAAGAAGGTTTTAAAGTTCATATTTCGGCTTAAACTTGAAATATTGAGTCCGTTTTTGTTGCTTCGTCGGTTTGTATCCGTTTCAGGGTGTTTTGGGTGAAACATAGCAGTGGAGTTTTGTAGTAAAAACGTCTTGTATCTATCTATGCCTAAAATACATGTTGGTAGTATATTGGTTGCATGTTGTTAGTCTATTGGTAGCATGTTGGTAGTACATTGGTAGTCAGTAGCATGTTGGTAGTATATTGGTAGTTAGTAGCATGTTGGTAGTATATTGGTAGTTAGTAGCATGTTGGTAGTACATTGGTAGTTAGTAGCATGTTGGTAGTATATTGGTAGTTAGTAGCATGTTGGTAGTATATTGGTAGTTAGTAGCATGTTGGTAGTACATTGGTAGTCAGTAGCATGTTGGTAGTATATTGGTAGTTAGTAGCATGTTGGTAGTATATTGGTAGTTAGTAGCATGTTGGTAGTATATTGGTAGTTAGTAGCATGTTGGTAGTACATTGGTAGTTAGTAGCATGTTGGTAGTATATTGGTAGTTAGTAGCATGTTGGTAGTACATTGGTAGTTAGTAGCATGTTGGTAGTATATTGGTAGTCAGTAGCATGTTGGTAGTATATTGGTAGTTAGTAGCATGTTGGTAGTATATTGGTAGTCAGTAGCATGTTGGTAGTATATTGGTAGTTAGTAGCATGTTGGTAGTACATTGGTAGTTAGTAGCATGTTGGTAGTATATTGGTAGTCAGTAGCATGTTGGTTGTATATTGGTAGTCAGTAGCATGTTGGTAGTAACATTCTGAGTAATGTCAGATAGCTTGAATTGTCGATATGGAAGATCTATGCAGACCTCTTCTCCATCCAGGGAACATAGGGCCTATAACTGTCCATATAAGATGCAAACATTGAATTATTATGTTTTTCGGTTTACTCACGTAATTGTTTGATAAGGAACTCGACTAGCTAGCTAGCTAGAGCGACGGTAGCTAAAAGCTGCTCATAAATATACGCTTCTAGCATGGCTTGAAACTAGAACAGCACCATAAAAATAGACCAAGCCCAAAAAATAAAAAACCCAATACATCAAAAATCAAACCACTCCCATTTTCAAAATTGAAATATTACACCAGCAAAGCTTCATTTACTCTTACTGACATTAATATCTGCTCACCCCTCCATAGTTACTGGACCGTGATAATATACAGTATCGACGCAAATGCATAGTTATGTTAGGGTGAGACCACAACATTGCGTTGCGACGAGGCGCGACGCATTGCAAAAACGACGACATCACGCGACAAGATGCTTACTATTAGCTCAACCCTCTTGATAAAATAAATGGCACAGATATTGCCCTATTAAATTGAATGAATAGAAATATCAAACAAAGGTCTCATAAAAGTTTTGAAAAAATATCAAAAGTTTGTGTCAATTTCTAAGTTTGACATTTATTTTGGTTTATGGATATAAATGATCAAATAAAATAGAAGAGATAAGATTGTTTAAGGTCGATATGAAATACGGGTTGACAAATACATCATTTTGTCGTAAGCAATTCTATTACGTAATAATGTGTCTATTTTATTTTATGACTGTGTATTGTGTGACTGCCGGGTAAGGGGTCTCAAGTCAGATACCCGAGTCGGGCAAAGCATTTAAAAGAAATCTCTATGGTAGGACGGACTCTGGAAATGTGCTCGGTATATGGCAATAGGCTCATCCCCTATTATCATGAGACTCATAATAAACATGAATAGTGAAAGTGGGTGTTACATTGTACAGTACGGTAATGTGCACGTCTGCACACCCCTTCGGCGGTAAAAGGCGTAATGTTATTATGCTATGTTATTTTATTGTGGATATTTTGTAAGATGCAGCATCGCAATGTTTATTTCTACGGTACGTATGTGACGTCACAAGTGTTTGCAATGTATCGATGCAACGCAGTGTTGTGTTCTCGCCCTAAGAGTTCTCGTTGATTCAATTGCATCCTACATGAAGATAACCGGTGACATTTTTCTATCACAATCCGTCAGTCTGATGTTTGATTTGACACTTTTATGGGTACATCCTGCATTTTTTTATCCTGGTCGCAATTTTGCAACTAGTGAGATTGGCATGATATATTTACATATGTATTAGCTGTTACCCGCGACTTGGTTCGCGTGAAATTATTCATATTTCTTGTTAATTTATACTTTTTTGACGCGACAACGTGTTGATTGGCAAGCCGTATTTGAGAGCTGGTATGAAACGGAACGTTTCTATGTCTCCTCAAGATGTCTTTCGTATGTCTACTCAAGATGGCGGCTGCGGTTTGTCTATCAGTATCATTAAAATGAATTTAGTAAAGCGAAATAATCTCCGTAATCAGAATTTTGCGGATATATTATTTATGTTGTCGACTCGAAATCAATATTTTTTTATGTTTTGTGTGTTATGTAATGTTTCGATCGAGTCTACCGTACCCCTTGACGAAATTATTAATATAGATCGTCTGAAATGAATATTTACCATGTTATTGCCTTTGATACCAAAATCGTAAACTATTCTTCACTATCCAGAAAGTAGTTTATATAACGTGAACTTACACGTGATTGAATTCCAATTCTGAATAATTTGTTACCTAAGAGTTTAGAAATGGAAAATGTCCTTCGAGGTTCGAAGCTAGGTCGTAATGAATCAAATAATTTGAGGTTTTGATTCTAGTTGTGAATGGTTCTGATTGAAATTCATTTTCATACTCTGTGTCTTCTTCTTCTCTGTCGTTTCGCTCTTAGCAGAGCGGTCATGGTCACGTTGAGGCGGCCGTATTTGTGTTGGTGGCCGATACAGCTTTCCTCCCGATCTCCCGCCATCTCTCTCTGTTTGTGGATGGTCTGGCGCAATCTGACTCTATGTATTCACTCACTTTTCTTGCGGTTGACTTTAGAACCAATTTAGGGACTACAGATTTTTTATGATAAGCCAGCAAACGTGATGCATAATACGTGTATTGCTGGCCATTTGGGAGATAGGCCAAATCCCTAATCTGAAGATTAATCCCTAATCTGAAGATTGAGGATATTTGACAGGGTCTAGGCAGTAGCACTATTTATTAACATTAAACTTTTTAATTTGCAATCTTCAACCCGTCTTCAAAGCGTGGTGATCATGGCAAAACCTCTAAGGTAAAGATCATCATGATTAGAAAACATCATTGGTATATTTTTATCAACCATGAATCAAGCCTAGAGCTCGTAATTCTTGTCATGTACACAAAGCTCACCAAGACAGATAGGAATCGATATGATCTAAAGTTGGCCCGCATTCCTAACTTCGCGATGCCGGTATGTAATTTAAATAACAACAGAGCTGTGTTATGCGTTGCAGGTACTACTGAGCACAGTTAGTGCAAGTTACAGATTTAGGTTTAATTGTAGAGTTGAGGAAAGTTGTAGGTGGAATAGGTGCTAGCGTAGTGCTCCATGTGCACTATTTGAACAAGGGAAGCAGTCTCCTAAGGCCTCAACATGGGTAGCGGTGGGTCAAAGCCTGCCGTGTTCCTACAGGATCCTCGAGTTACGAGTAGTCGTAAGTACGACTGCCAGGACATGTTTTGGGTCTTGTGTTCGATTCTTGGGTCCGGCAATGTAAGGCTTACTTACTAAGGTTCCAGTAGTAGCACGGAATCTGGAATTGTGCCCGGTATATAGCAATACTCACCCCCTTACGTGCAACTGATAAATTGAATAGTGATTGAAAATGGGTGTTACATTGTACGGTGGCATAAAGTGCCGTAATGTGCGCCTCTGCCTATCCCTTCGGGGATAAAAGCCGTGATGTTATGTTACATATTTTAACGTAACCATCTCTATATCATCGACGTCATTGGGTAAGATGTCGATTCTCTAATTCTGTATGTACAGTCAGGAATTCAATGAATTCAGCAAAATATACTTAACCACATAATATTATTAGCTTTCATTCATTCAAGATCAACTTCCTTCATTGATAAATTTTGTAATAGCACGTACGCTTAACATTTCCGAAGGAATGTTTATTTTTATATCAGATTGTCCCCAATATACATATTTTTGGCCAATTCTCCGTAATCCTCGACCTACTTGCATGAGAAGAAAAATATGATGAATGTATGAAAGACGTCTGAAATAGGCTACACAATGAGGTAGCCTTCGTTGATAAATACACGTGCCTTTTTGTTAAAAGAAAAGGTCAGGTAGTCAAGCATTGTGAGATGGTCTATATGTGTAGCCTGTACGTCAACCTACACCAATTTGTCAATGGATTTTCGACTTCATTCCTAAACTATAGAGTTGAGAATGGACCGAAAAGTGTTGGTTGACCTGCTGCCTGTGTGTATGTATATGATAGTCGAAGGTCACTGACTGGCTAAATACATAACACTAGTACTAGTATGAATATTGCTCTCTGACAA